AAGAGGAAGACCCCCAACGAGATGGATCAGCCAGGTGGCATCATTAATGGACTCAGGTGTGGCGGCGGTAGTGAGGTTGACCCAGGATTGAACATTGTTTCGTTCTGCTGTGCATGGGGTCGCTATGAGTCGGTTCCGACTCGATGGCACCTGACAACAACAACAATCCAGTGAATAGGAGTCCTGGTGTGGCACTGTGGGTTAATGCACCAGGCTGCAAAGTTGTTTGAATTGCAAGGTTGGCACTTTAAGCTCATCAGCTGCTCCTTGGAAACCCTATACAGGGTCGCTATGGGCCGAAATCAACTTGACGGTACTTAACAACCACAACAACAAAATCCAGTGAATAGGTCTAATAATAATGGCCAACCTAATGTCCAAATTGTGGTTTCCAAATACAATCTTCCACTGAAAAATCTGGTGACCGTTGGAATAATGGTTGATTCCACTTCCAAGGCATGTAATTTACAAGAAGATTCCATATAATCTTGTTATATTAAGTAAGGATGTATCAAGGACTACTTGGGTATATAAAAAATGGCTGAATAAATCACCACAGGCTAAATTCGGGAAATTTTGAGTGTCAATACAAAAACAAAAAATAACCACAATTGAGATGACTATGTCAAATATACCTATATTCATAAGTTCAAAAAATTATTTGCTCACCTTTGGAGGATACTAGAAATCCAACTGATTATCGAAAACAGAAAGTCCAAGAGGGAAAGATCATCTTTCCCAAGAGGGAAAGATCAATCATTTATTTTGCCTAACCAATACAAACTGTAGCTAAGCTAAGCAAATAGTTAAAAAGAAAAAGTTTCTCTTTAGGGTAATATTCCACACAATTAATGAAAAGGAATGACAGAATTTCAACATTTTATAAATCTTAATCAATTCCTGGTTCTAAGCCATCAACGGCTAGTCATATCAAAAAAGACAACCAGATACAATCAACAAATGGATGAAATAACAGTGTCTTTGCTATGAAGTAGGAATGCTTCATAAAATCACACCCAAATCTCATCAAGCCTCTAAACCTAAGTGCCAACATACAGGAAACACAAAGGGCCAGAGTACCGACTTAAACACCAAACAGCGTATATAACTGGCAAAAGGAGGCTATGAAAAACTATAAAACAACTAAATTTTGCCAACCAAAAATGATTTTCAAGGAGAAAAAGGATTGACAAGGAAACTATAGATTAAAAGAAATTTAAGAAAATTACCAACCAAGATTTTAATCCAAATTTTAAAAAAGAATCTGCAAGCAAAAGTATTAGAACATTAGGGAAAATAATCTTTTAATAACTTAATATAAAACATTCTTGAGGTATACTGGATATACATTAAATTATAAAGTCTACATGTTGATAAATTTTGACATATGTGTGTATTTGTGAAACAAGATAATGAACATAATGTTCATTTCTGAGCCCCTTCAAGTCCTCTTCTAATGTCTCAACCCACCTTCCTAGACTAACACTTATCAGCTTTCTGTCACTGGACTTTATTTTGTATTTTCTAGAGTTTTACGTAAATGGGTTCAGACGGTATGGATTTTTTGTTTGCCTTTTTTCAGCATATTTTTTCTGTGCTTCATCTATGTTATTCCATGTATCAATGCTTCATTGCTTTTTAGTCTGAGTAGTATTCTTCAGTATAGATATAGCATGGTTTACCCAGTCACCCATTAATGGACATAGGAACTGATTTTATTTATTGGGCTATAACAAATCAAATTGCTATAATATTTGAATAACAGTCTTTATATTGATGTTTGCTCTCTTCTGGGTAACTAGTAACAGTAGAATGGCTGGTTCATGTGTATAGGTGTCCATTTAAGAAACTGACCAATTATTTCCCCAGAGAGACTGTACCATTTTATATCCCTCATCAGCAGTGCTCAAGAGTTCCGGTCCCTCCAAATTCCCACCAACACTTGATATGATCAGTCCTTTTCATTTTAGCCCTTATAATAAGCATACAATGGTATATCATTGTGAATTTATACTGTCCTAATCCAAGCTCTGGTAGTGTAGTGGTTACAAGTTGGGCTGTGAACCACAAGGTCAGCAGTTTGAAACTACCAGCTGTTCCACGGGAGAAAGATGAGGCTTTCTGCTCCTGTAAAGATTTACAGCCTTGGAAACCCTGTACAGGGTCACTATGAGTCGGAACCGACTCCACGGCACATAACAACAACAACAACAATCCAAGTCAGGCTGCTAACCTCAAAGTCAGCAGTTCAAGTGTTTGCAACTTGATAAGCAAATCCTAACTTTACATTTTCATTCCTTCTTTGTGAAATAATTAAGAGTCTGGGCATTACTTACATCAACCAAAGCAATTCTATAACTTCCTCTGTATCTAAAATCTGACAAAAATGCTGGATTTCACGCTTACCAGAGGCTCCAGTTTTACCCGCTGTTGTCGTTTTCTTGTCTTCTCTTGAGCTTTTGTAGTGTGTGCAAACGTCAGGACATGAGTCTCAGACACCCTTTCTGTGGGGGCTATAATACTCAGCCTTCCTCTGGCTTTAAAACTATCCAGTCTTATCAATAAAGAGTCATCTATCTGCTCATAATTATTTTTCAGGTCGAGGTCACTGTTTGTAGCCTGAAAAGCCATCATTAATCCTGGAAAGGGTGGGGACAGGAAAAAAACAAAGGAGAGTGAGTTAAGAACTAGGGAGAGCTGCTGCATTCGTCCATCCTCAAAGAAAATCCATCAAAGTTAGTGCAGTCTTCCCAAACTGAGAATCTGAACTAAAGAAACGAACACTAAGAACTGTGCCTAGTCTCCAGGAGGCCCTGTAGCTGGGGTTGTTGTTGTTAGAGCCATCGAGTTGGTTCAGACCCACAGTGACGTGTATAGGGTTTCCAAGGAGCGGCTGGTGAGCCTGAACCACCAACCTTGCAGTTCAAACTGACCTTGCAGTCCAGCGTATGAACCCACAGTGCCACACCAGAACACTGTACCTGGAGTGATGATCAGAAAGCTGAATTTCTACCAAGTTCTTAAGTGACCCTGATACTACTACTCCAGGTCTAATTGAATACAATTAGTATTGAGATTAATGTTTCTCCCATCTGAGTATGGAAAACATCTCCTATGGAACTTGTTTAAAACGCAGGTAATGTTAACACAGGCAAGCAGAGAAATACGGCCTAGAAACTAAACAAAGGAAAAGGAGTTGAGAGCTAAGCCCATGAACAGTGCTTTTCTAGATTTTATATACATAGCAATCACATGAGGACTTGTTAAAATGTTAAGTTTTGATTCTTACACTTTACTTGATGACATCCTAAAACACTTGAACTGTCAGCCTTTCCTAGTAACCTTGCATTCCTTACCACCATGTACACCAGATAGGTGGAGGCACTGCCCTTCAAAGTAGCTTATCACACCAGAGGTACTGAACCAGGTGTCTACAAACCTAGGTTTTACTGGAGATCAGCGCTGCCCAATAGAAATATTATGGTGCCTTAATAAGGAGCTCTGGTAGTGTAGTGGTTACAAGTCGGGCTGCGAACCTTAAGGTCAGTGGTTTGAACCTACCAGATGCTCTGCGGGAGAAAGATGAGGCTTTCTACTCCTGTAAAGATTTACACCCTCGGAAACCCTGTACAGGGTCGCTATGGGTTGGAACCGACTCGACGGCA